CTTCCTTGTCGTCCACACAGGTCGGGGTGAAAGGGAACCCCCAGGGCTTCAACCGAGGTCTTGACTGTGATGTCATCGTGGCAGAGGTGAGACCCGGCGTTCGGCGGGCCAGTTTGACGCCCCCTGCTGGTTCGACCTGGACAGGTTGCCTCCCCCTTCCCGCCAAACCCCCCCCCCCAACTTGCTTCTAATCCATGACACCGTGCCTCTCCTCTTTAGGTTCGCTCCACCAGCCACAAGCCAGATGAGATCTACGGCATGATCGAGCGCCTCTCGCCCGGGACACGCAAGATTGAGCTCTTTGGACGGCCCCACAACGTCCAGCCCAATTGGTGAGTGGCCCTGTGCCCCCCCCCCAAGCCAGTGATTTCTCCAGACGGACACAGGAGAGACAGGAAAACCGCAGTACTTCCGAAGCAGATCCCCCTCGATAGACCCTAAAGGCTGTTTTCCCCCCTTCTCTATCGAACTTAGAGAGTTGGTTTGCCAGATCGTTGGTTTGTCTAGCTCCTCACTGTTGGACACGTCACCTGGCGGAGTGAAAGGTCTTCCCTAGCATCTCATACCTGAGATCAGTTAACTGGAGAGGCTGAAGACTGGACCAGAGATCTTCAGCATCAAAAGCGTAGCCCTCCCCAGACTTGGTTACCCCTGTCCTCTGTCTTGAGGTTGGATCCCGTGGATCTGTTCCACTAGTTGGTGGAACTAGTTGTGCCAGAAGAAACCATCTGTGCTGGTGGAATGGGTCCAACGGGGATTTCCAGTACTGCTTCAGCAAATGCTGGGAGAATTGGTGGTGGTGGGGGATGTGATGTCACTTCCGGAGGAAGCTCTAGGCTGCCTCCCCTAGCCTTTACGGTATTTCTCAGAGGAAATGAGAGCTGGGAGAAAACATTGCCTCCACCTAGTGATACTCCAGTAAATATAGTCTCTCTCTATGGTCTTTGCTATAAGTAAAGGCCATAGAGATGAAAAGAAATCCCTTTCCCCATTTTTCTCCTGCCCCTCAGTTCCTGGTGGAGTGGGATATTGGAGCTGGGGCCATAAATCCCCATTCTGGGGAGGTAAACGGGAGGCCTACATTTGACCCATGAGAGATACCCGAATAACCAGTGCCAGCATCTGTCGTGTAAGTCCAAGGTGACTCCTTCCACCTGTCCGTCTACGTAACAGTCACCTGTCAGTTGTCTCAGGCTAGTAAGAAGTCATCTGGACCAGTCCCTTTTAATGGATTCCTTTGCAAGACTGGAGTAACATTCTCCAGGTAAACGCACGAAAAGGGTACCGAGCCTACCTGCGAAAGGCCAGGTTGTACGGCTTTTCCAGAGGCCCTTCAGACATGTAGCTCAAAGTAAAGGTAAAGGTTCCCTTGCTCGAAAGCCAGTCGAGTTGCTCTAGGGTTTCGGTGCTCATCTCCGTTTCAAAGCCGAAGAGCCAGCGCTGTCCGAAGATGTTTCCGTGGTGACATGGCCGGCATGACTGAACACCAAGGCGCACGGAACGCTGTTCCCTTCCCACCAAAGTGGTACCTATTGATCTACTTGCAATGTCTTGCTTTCGAACTGCTAAGTTGGCAGGAGCTGGAACTAGAGACAGGAGCTCACTCCGTCATGCAGCACACTCGGGTCTCGAACTGCTGAACTACCGACCTTCCACAGCCTGCAGTTCAGCGTCTTAACCACTTGAGCCACCACAGCTCAAAGTAGCTCAAAGGCCACTGGCCAAATTATGGGAGCCTTTGAGAGACTTTTCATTGAGAGCTTCCGGAAGGCACCTGTCTGGGGAACACAGGATGTTGGACATTTGGTCTGATCCACTGGGACTCCTTTTTTTGGAAGCCCGTCAGGGCAAAGATGTTCTCCAGATGATATTCTGCTCTTGCTGGGGATGCTTGCACACAAGGGAACCATTTCCTTGTGACGCCTGGACCCTTCTAATTTGTTTCCCGTCCTTTCTAGGATCACCCTTGGCAACCAGCTGGATGGGATTCACCTGCTGGACCCCGATGTGGTGGGCCAGTTCAAGCAACGGTACCCAGACGGCATCATCTCAAAGCCCAAGAACATGTAGTTGGGGGGGGCAGGGGCGGGTTGTCAATCCCATGGACCAAGGACTGTTCGTTTGGAGAGGGAATGTCTGCGTGTATTCTGATATTTAGTTTTGTAATAAAAAAGGGGATACTTTGTTCCTTAGGTAGAGAAAAGCATCAGCAAAGACCCAGCTCTGGCCTAGCGGAAAGAGGGAGAGGCTTCCCTCAGTCCCGGATAAGCACGTAGGGGGAGCTGTTTTCTCTGCTACTGCTCGAAGATTGATTAGTTGGACTTACTGTGAAGGTTCCTTCTTCTCTTCTCGGGGGCGGAGCCATCCTCTGGGTTACGCCTCTGATTTGCTCCTAGGCAGGGTTTATGCAAATTAAAGTGATCCCTAACAGGACCCGTCAGAGGCTGACTGACCTCCATTCCTTGCCCCCCAAGCCCTGCTGCTCCAGGCACGACTGGCTTAGCCAGCTCCTTTTTTGTTGCCTGTATTTTTCTTATGTGCGCACGCACCTGAAAGTCACGGCAACCTCTGGTGACTGACCCCTGCTGGGGGCCTGGAGGATATTCAGAGCGGTGGCTGAACGAAGCCTGCCCCTGCATCCCGCCTCCGGTATTCCAAAGAGGTCTCCAATCCAAGGACTTGCCAGAGTCGACCCTGCTTAGCTTCCGAGATCGGGCTTGCCTGGGCTATCCAGGTCAGGGGTAGCCGGCTCCTTCTTGTAGGCCCCTGAAGAGAGTAAGAGAAAGGAGCCGGCAAAGCAAGTTTGCCTGGAGCAGTGGGGCTTCCCGACTGGGGAGGTCTGCCTCCAAATGGACCTTTTAGGGATCAGTTCAATTTGAACACGAGAGAAGCCAATGTTGGATCAGCCAAAGGCCCATCTAGTCCAACACTCTGTGTCACACAGTGGCCAAAAATACCAGGTGCCATCAGGAGGTCCAGCAGTGGGGCCAGGACACTAGGAGCCCTCACACTGTTGACCCCCCCCCAAGCACCAAGAAGACAGAGCATCACTTGCCCCAGAGCCCCTATCTATACCTTGTGGCTAATAGCCACTGATGGACCTCTGCTCCATATGCTTATCTAATTCCCTCTTGAAGCCGTCCATGCTTGTAGCCGCCACCACTTCCTGTGGCAGTGAATTCCAAGTGTTAATCACTCTTTGGGTGAAGAAGGACTTCCTTTTATCCGTTCTAACCCGACCGCGCGGCAATTTCATGGAGTACCCACGCGTTCTTGTATTGTGAGAAAGGGAGAAAAGGACCTCCTCTACCTGCTCTGTCCCATGCATAATCTTAATTTGCACGAACCCTGCCTTGGAGCAAGTCGGAGGCATAACCCAGAGGAGGAGGACAGGGCGAAACGATACAGGAGCAGGTCCCACCTCCCCTCTGCTCCTACAGCTAGATTGGAGTCCTTAGAAGCCAGCAAGTGGGGTTTTTTTTGGGGGGGGGTATGAGCTTTGGAGGTCGGAGCTCCCTTGAAGGAAGCTTTCATTTCCAAAAGCTCCCACCCCGAAAAACTTGTTTGTCTCTAAGGCGCCAATGGACTCAGATTTAGCTGATTGCAGACCAACAATGCTACCCTCCGGAACAATGCTCCTACATTTATGTGGGGGTCAGGAAATGCAAAAAATAGGATGGGTAGGTGGGGGACTTACATCTGCCTGCTCTGGTGGACCCAGATTCAACATCTGGAGCTTCGTTATACTCAGGGCTATTTTTGGGCAGGAACACACAGGAGCGGAGTTCCGGCTGGCTCCTGAGTTGGCCACGCCCAGCAGGAACTCATTAGCATAATAGGCCACACCCAACAGCAGGAACTCATTAGGACTGGCTACATTAGGGGTGTGTGGCCGAACATGCAAAGGAGTTCCTGCTACAAAAAAAGGCCCTGGGTTTTGACAACAAACGAGGTAAACAGAATAAGAAGCAAAAGGTGGGTGTGGCTGGATGACCACACTTCTGGTAACATGAGGGTGCGGCCTAATGTGCCAATGAGTTCCTGCTGTTGGGTGTGGCCTATTATGCTAATGAGTCCCTGCTGGGCTTTTTCTACAAAAAGACCCCTGGTATACTGAACTGGAAGACCGGCTCCTCTAAATCCGTGGGTAGGCCCCATCTATGTTATGGGGCAGAGGGGATGCTGTGCTCTGCATTTCCCCTGCCTGGTAACATCCGCTGCACTGCAGGGCTGCAGTATTTATTTCTATCCAATTCCTTTCTGGACAACTGCCAGTTGAAAGCCCTCCCCGGGGCAGGGATTGGATCTGGGACTTTCCGAACACAAAGCATATGCTCTGCCCAAGTCATCCCTTATGGTGGTCTGGTCCACCAGCGATGGTGCTATCCAAGTCCAGCACCTCATACACATGAAGCTGCTTTATATGGAAGGAGACCCACGGTCCATTGGGGGGGTCTGTATTTTCTACCCAGACTGACCGCCACTCTCCAGTGTCTCGGGTCAAGTCTTTCACATCACCTGCTGGCCCGGTCCTTAAAAAAACTGGAGATGCTGGGGATCGAATTCGGGGGCTTCCGCAGGCAAAGCGGAGGCTTCTTCGCCGAACCTCAGCTCTCTCCCTCGAAAACAGAAGCCACACTTGACACCCAGTTCTCCATCCCCACACGGTTCTTGAAAAGAGCTCTGTCATCCCCCCACTGACCTCAAGAGGGCAGCAGATGAAGAATGCTAGCTTCTGACCAGGAGGTTCACCTCTTCCGGAAAAGAACGCCATCCCTTTCATGCACAGATAAAGGCTCCTTGGCCCAGGGTGGAAAGCTTGCTGCTTCATTTCGGTCCCCCCCGCTTCCCCCAACAAGAACATGGCAGGCCCCGGCCAAAGATTCCCGTTCCAGCTTTAATCAGCTCCATCAAGAGAAACAGACCAAGGGACAGAGTTTAGGGGGGGGGGAAACCTGAAGTGTTCAAATAATTTCCTCCTCCCCCCCCGTAAAATTTCCCCCCCCCCCCCCCCCCCCAGATACAGGATGATGTTCTCTGTCGTCAAGGGTCTCCGAACCGGCGTGCAAGCCGTCTCCATCTTCCCCCTCAGTGGCATGGCAGTAATTTTTTCCCTCTCTCTTTTTTTTTGTCCTTCGATAAAAGACGCGGGGCACAGGGGAACACAAACTATAGTTTTTCTCCCCAGCCGTGAAAGGCCGGGGATGTTATTTGACAAAAACAACGTTGTTTGAATTGCGGGAGGCCAGCCAAGCTAGAAATACATCCCTGTGAAGAGAAGAGAGAGAGAGAGAGAGAAACGTCAGCAGGGAGGGGGAGAAGGATCCTAGGTGCAAATTCCTTGTACGTCACCGTGTCTGAGTCAGCATCCCAGACAAATAACCGTCCATACTCCACTTTAAACACCTCCAAGGAGGGAGAGCCCACAATGTCCTCGGGCAACTGACTTGAATGCATTATCTCCTTTCCTTCCCCGAAGGGGAAATGGAATTACATAATGATTAAGGAAAGCCCCAGGTACTTAACATAAGAACATAAGAGACGCCAATGTTGGATCAGGCCAAAGGCCCATCCAGCCCAACACTCTATCACAAAGTGGCCAAAGATACCAGGTGCCATCAGGAGGTCCACCAGTGGGGCCAGGATACTAGAAGCCCTCCCACTGTTGCCCCCCCAAGCACCAAGAAGACAGAGCATCCCTTGCCCCAGAGTCCCTATCTATACCTTGTGGCTAATAGCCACTGATACTAGTCCTCCTGATCCAGTGGAAAACCCCTTCATTTGAATAAGGGCGGCCAATGGCAGGGCCTATTGCGCAGTGGCCCCACCCACTTTCTGAAAAGCTCGACAGGTGAGATGGCGCCCACTGGTACCACGTTGGGGAGCTCTGTCATAGAGACTTGCGAGGTCCATCAGTGTCTATTAGCCACAAGGTATAGCAAGGGATGCTCTGTAGTCTTGGTGCTTGGGGGGGGGGCAACAGTGGGAGGGCTTCTAGTGCCCTGGCCCCACTGGTGGACCACCTGATGGCACCTGGTATTTCTGGCCACTGTGTGATACAGAGTGTTGGACTGGATGGGCCACTGGCCTGATCCAACACTGGCTTCTCTGATGTTCTTACGACCCACTTGAGAGTCGAGGTCCACGAGAAGAACGTTGGATTGGATTGTTTTAGGGCCCCGTCCAACTTCTTAATTTAATTCTAAACTCCCCCTTTACCAGAATGGATCCAACCATCAATACCGAGCATTTTTTTGAAGAAAAAAAACCAATCACTTAAAAAAAAAAAATCCTCCCCCACTCATTTAAATTTGAGTGTTTAGGCAGGATGTGAGAGACGGACTTAACACGACTGTGGTCCCCAGAAACCGGCTGCGCTAAAGAGAACGCGAAAAGGTGCCAGAATCTGGTCTCTTGATGCCCGCTGCCACACCTCGACCTGCCGGGGGTGCCCAGAAACGCCAATGCACAGCAGCGCCGGGCGGCTCGCTCACGCACCTGCAGTGCTTCACCACGCACTCGCTGCTGCAGTATTCGTTGTCCCAGTCGCTGCTGGCTACTGGCGCGTTGTCGCAACCGGCGCGGATGCAGCGAGGGCGGGGGGACAAGGCCACCGGCGATTCGGACACCAGCTCCACGTGCATCGGGGACTCCACCTGGCGAGAGGCAGGAAAGATAACTGGTGTCGCACTGGCTGCCGCCGGGTTTGCAAAAGAGCTGCTCGCCTGGGGTGAGCAGAAGCCACCGGCAAGTGACCCTGCGGTGAGGCTTGTGGAGTGAAGGTACCCTCCACGAATCTTTCCGGGTTATCAAAGCTTAACGTGGTGGTGGAAACGACCATCAAGTCACCGCCGACTTACACTGGGTTTCCGAGGCAAGAGACATTTCAGAGGTGGTTTGCCATGGCCTGCCTCTGCGTAGCAATCTTGGACCTCCTTGGTGGCCTCCCATCTAAGTACTAACCGGGCCCGACCCTGCTTAGCTTCCGAGATCAGACCACCCAGGTCAGAGCATGAATGCTTAATATATTATCCATCCCCCCAAATCTATGGCTTTATTGGTATAATCCAATTTCTATTCTTAGTGACTGGCAATTTGCTGTCAGGAGACTGATGCAAAACAATTCCGACTTCTTGTAACACCCACCCACCGAGGAACTAGCTTTCTTCCTGGGGTCACCTTCCATTTACGCCCACGGGTGCTTGGCAGGTGAGATGCCTGTGTTCAAAAGGGCTGGCGACTGTGCCACCTGCACCCCCCATATTTGGGCACTCCTTTGGGGGCGCAACGTCCTTCCTTCCACCGCGAAACCACGTGTCGGCATCGCGTCGCCGTAACAGGGTGGGGCAGGGTGGTTTAGAAATCCATGGGACCGCAGTCCGGCCACTAACCAGACTTTGGTTTCGGGTGCTTGGCAGGTGAGATGCCTGTGTGCAAAAGGGCTGGCGACTGTGCCACCTGAACCCCCCATATTTGGGCACTCCTTCGGGGGCGCAACGTCCTTCCTTCCACTGCGAAACCCCGTGTCGGCATTGCGTCGCCGTAACAGGGTGGGGCAGGGTGGTTTAGAAATCCATGGGACCGCAGTCCGGCCACTAACCAGACTTTGGTTTCTAGCACTGAGCCCGAGACTTGGGGCTATTTGCAGAATTTGTATTTTATTGGGCATGTCTGGTTTGCCACCACTGTTTTTAAAGAGAGCTGGGAGAAAAGGGGCCTGGAGATTTGGGGGCGGAGCCTGTGAAGGGCAGAATTTGGGGAGGGGTGGGAGCCCAGCAGGGTGATGACTACCTAGAGTCTCCGTTCCATGGCTGCCGTTTCCTCCAAGGGAACGGATCTCTGACGCCTGAAGATAATTCCAGAACGGTAATTCCAGAAATTCTCCAGCCCCCACCTGGAGGCTGGCAACTGACCCGCATCCTTCAATGGGACTGTCTTTCTTTCCCCAATGACCCAACTAGTCTTGGGCAGGACCACTTGTACAAAACCCACCCTCGGTTTCCATCCTCCAGGGCCATCTAGTCTAGCCCCCTGCATAATGCAGGGAATTCACAAATACCTCCCCCCCACCCACCCCCAGTGACCCCTGTTCAATGCCCAGAAGATGACAAAAAAACCCCTCCGGAATCTCCAGGCCAAAGCGGCCTGGAGAAAAATGGCTTCCTGACCCCAAAGGGGTGATAGGCATTTCCCTGGGCGTGGAAGAAGGGACCAGAAGAAAGAAGCACTACCCCTCCCTTTTCGTGACCTGCCTAAATTCACAGGATCGGCATTGCTATCAGATGGCCATCTAGCCTAGGAGTGGCCAATCTGTGGCTCAGGAGCCACATGTGGCTCTTTCACGCGGGGCAGCTGGGGAAGCGAGGGGGAGGGCCTGCCTCCCCAATTGGTCTTCCCTTCCGCAGCCAGTGTTCCCCTCCCTGAGTAGGCCTGAGGTGTGTGTGGAGGGGAGCAGAGAAAGCAACTTTAAATGTGTGCCCAAAGCCCCCTCCCCCTGTTGTCTGGCTCGAGAGAAGGAATTTGTCTCTTTAAATCCCTTTGCCAAGCCAGCCAGCAGGTGGGTGGGTGGGGCTTGGAGAACGCATTTAAAGTGACATCTGTTTTTACCCCGGGCCCTTTTGTTTTTATTTCTGACAGCCTCATTTAATGTTCATAAAAAGTAAATGTGCATATTCCCCAATAAAAACATGTGTAAGGTTTGTTCATGTCTTGCAGCTCTCAAACATCTGACGCTTATTCCATGCGGCTCTGACATTAAGCAAGTCTCTGGCCCACCCCTGATCTAGCCCCTGCTTAAATACCTCCAAAGGAGGAGAGCCCACCACCTCCTGTTGCACTGAGGAACCGTTTTTGCTCTAATTGTCAGGAAGTTCTCCCTCGTGTTTCGCTGAGTGCCCATCCTCACCTCGAAGCCACTGCAGCCAGGAATTTGGCCATAGCCAAAATAATACCAGGATCGGTATGGGCTAGCAGAGAAAACAGAGGAACGACCGAAACCCTGGGAATGACCGCTGACTGTTCCTCCAGCACACGTTCCCTGCCTCACTCTGCTGTCAGCCACTGCCCCTGAACCCAGATCAAACAGGGGCCCCAACCAATGCTCCCCCTAAGCTGTGGAGTCTTGTGAACAAAGATTCTGCTTCGGGAGCTACTGGCATCAAAGTTGTGAGCGAGCAGTTTGGCTACTGCATAAATGAGTTCGCTCTGGAGCCATCCTTCTTGAGCTCAGACCAAAAAGTGTCAGCTGGAGGCTAAAAAACTGTGAGCAGGCTCACACTGACTCAGCTTAGAGGGAACACTGGCCCCCAACCAATGCTCCCTCTAAGTTGTGGAGTCTTGTGAGCAAAGATTCTACTTTTTGAGCTGCTGGAATTAAAGTTGTGAGCAGTGTTCCCTCTAAGCCGAGCGAGTGTGAGCTAGCTCACAGTTTTTTACCCTCCGGCTCACACATTTTTGCCTTAGCTCAGGAAGGGATGGCTCTGGAGCAAACTAACTTATGCAGCAGCCAAATCGCTCGCTCACAGCTTTAATGCCAGGAGCTCACAAAGTAAGAATTTTTGCTCACAAGTCTCCACAGCTTAGAGGGAGCCTTGGTTGTGAGCGAGCAATTTGGCTGCTGCATAAATGCGGTAGCTCTGGAGCCGTCTCCCCTGAGCTAAGACAAAAACGTGTGAGCTGGAGGCTAAAAAACTGTGAGCTGGCTCACACTGACTCAGCTTAGAGGGAACACTGGCCCACAACTGTGAAGCATCGATGGGGCGGGCGACCCAATTCCCAGGGTGGAAATGTCTCCCCGCGGCCTCCCTCCCCCCGCCCCAATTCCCGGCTTCTTACCTCCGGCACGACATCGGCCGTGATCATCTCGACCGGCTCGGGGGACGCCTGGAGCTCCGGGGCGGGTCTCTCGGGGCTGCTCTCCTCCGTCCGCAGGGCCAGGGGCTGGATCTGCAGGGCCGGCGGGGGCAGGATCTTGATCTGCAGGGGGGGCGGGGGCGTCTGCAGGTTCAGGCGCACCTTCTGCTGCAGGGGGGGCTGCTGCATGGCCTGGAGTGGGGGCGGCTGCTGGAGGATGGTGACGGGCTGGGCGGGGGGCTGCTGGGGCATCTGCTGGAGGGGAGGGGGCTGGAGGCGCGGCAAGTGCATGGAAGAGGCGGCGGCCGCCGCGGCCGCCAGGACGGAGCGGGGGACGATCTGGGTGGTCCCCGTCCCGGTCTGCAGCTGGCTCAGCTGGATCCCCCGGGAGGTCATCGGGGACCTATCCGGGGTGAGGTCCGTCTCTCCTGTCGTCCTCGTGAGAACTGGAGGCTGAAAGACAAGGGCTTGCTGCGAGGCTCCAGGCTCGGATGGGAGACGGAAGGGGATAGACGATAGGGGATAGACGAGACGGAAGGGGATAGAAGAGGAGTTAGAATCTCACGATCAGAGATCGCCCAGCGTCTGGTGAACTGATCCTCTGCCCCCACCCTCACGG